TGTGTGTGTGTGTGTGTGTGTGTGTGTGTGTGTGTGTGTGTGTGTGTGTGTGTGTGTATTCAGACAAATCTGACATTCTTGTCTCCTGCTAAATGAAGGTTGAAAATGAATGAATGTTGTTGATCTTGAAATACTGCCATGATTGATGATGATCATTACTCTTTTTATGTATGCACTCTTTTTATGTTGTAGATTTAAGAGTTAAGTTTGGGGCTAAGTGAAGATACATAGCAAATCATAAAGCACATCTAAAGAATATTACCCTGCTTATCTTCAGTAGTAGCATCACAACACAGTCTCTGAAACATTTTATAAACTCCCCAACCTCTGAGTGTGCCCTTGTTCTATAGTAATGCAGAGAGGAACTCAATAATTTCAGGAACTGATTAGAGAAAGATTTGCGTAATTAATTTGTCCCATTGAACAACATGTGAAAATGGCTGCAGTCCTTACTCCAATCCACTATTTAATTAAAAGCCCTCAGCATCATTCATCTGACACAATAGTATTGCGTTTGTGTGGAAAGCGTGCGTATTTGATGAAATAGCAGAGGAAGGGAGGTAGAAAACACTCATCCTCAAATTAGACTTTGCATCATTAGCCTTTGAGGATTAACTCTTTTGCCATGCCCCCCCCCACCACCACCAGATCATTTAAATATTTATTACCTTGTAAATACCCCTATAACATCCAACTGCAGACAGGAAAGAAAAGGCATTGATTGGTTTGGTGAGAAATGAGTATGAACAAAGCTCTAGAAGCAACGTGATTATATGTACAAATTTAATCATGAAATTGCACTAGGGATGAATCAGCTAATGCAAGAAACTGAATCTAAACATTCCATAGCAGTTCCTAGAAGCCAAACACATCAGTGACTTCAGACAAAACATGCAAAGACTAAATATGACAGAAGGGTTAAGAAGATAAGATAACACAAGCTAATATCAGATAAGCCAGTGATAGACTTTTTGCATTGTTAAGTATGTGTGTAATCTGTTTGGGTGTGAGTAAAGTAAATTTCTTCATGAAAAGGTGAATGTGAGGTGAAAACTCTCCTCTTTGTGTCTGTTTCTTTCACCTAGCTGAGATCCAAATACAATGTAAGCCAGACATCCAAATATCATGATCACACATCAAAATGATAATCAAAATTCTATGTGCATTTACAGATAAGCTACCTGGAAGTAGTATATATTATATTTGTCTTTGTTTGATATCAGTCAGAATGTGGATGACCAGAAAACAGAATAAGAACCCAGCCTTCTTAGGAGTAATGTCACATATTCCAGTGTAAACAAATCAATGCATAAAAAAATAGAAGCTTCTGTTTACGCATTCATTTATATTCAGCACTGAAAATGATTTCCCAAGTTCATAGGCAATCACAAAATATGTTGTTGTTTTTTTTCTTCTCAGCACAGAGACAAAGTTAAACATTAGTTCAGGCCAATTCAAGATCAGTTCGCAATCCTCAGAGATTAGGTGATCTAGGAAGCATGAGATGATGACTCAGCTGATGCACATCCAACTGATAAATCTCATATAGGGCACATTTTTAGCCTACCAACATTTGCTGTGCATCCACAAGATGCTTTACAACTAACCTTTAACCCAGTACCTCCTTTCATTCATGTCCTTGCTATTTCTCTCATAGCTTCAGTCTTTACATATGCACAGAGAAGGGTGCTCACTTCAATAACAAAGCCAGGGTTTTTAAGTATATTAAAGTAAAAAGGACACAAAAAGTGCCATCTATGTGTGTTAAAGCACTAAGAGCTACTTGAAGACTTCTTCTTCTTCTAATGAAGACAGGTGGTATATTTCAAAGATAATCAGGACGTCCACTGTGGCTGAAATGCAGCAAGAAGTTTACCTGGTGAGCAGCTACAGAAACACAACATATGTAAGTTAAAACATACCAGTATAAGAGTGGCATCTTTATGTTCACTATTATAATTCTAATTATTATTAAGGGTGGAGTGCCCACTCAGGGTCAGGGACAAGTTGTTGCCCCAAGTGGGTGAGTTTAAGTATCTCGGGGTCTTGTTCACAAGTGACGGGAGAAGGGAGCGGGAGATCGACAGACGGATTGGTGCTGTGGCTGCAGTGATGCGGACGCTGTACCGGTCTGCCGTGGTGAAGAGAGAGCTGAGTGTAAAAGCGAAGCTCTCAATTTACCCATCGATCTATGTCCCTACCCTCACCTATGGTCATGAGCTGTGGATACAAGCAGCAGAAATGAGCTTCCTAAAAAGGGTGGATGGCCTCTCTCTTAGAGATAGGGTGGGAAGTTCAGCTATCCGGGAGGGGCTCAGAGTAGAGCTGCTGCTCCTCCACATCGAAAGGAGTCAGTTGGATATTTAGTGATGATTCAAACAAAATCCCATCCTAGATATAAATGTTGGGGACCCTTAAGTTACATATGTATACATTCATTTAACTTCACACATTCATAACACCACATTTCCTGGGTGATGATGAAATGAACATAATATATAGGAAAAGCAAAAATAACTTGGATTTATAATATTTTTTTTAATACAGAGGCACGGTGGTTAGCACTGTTTCCTAACTGGAAACTCTAAATTGCCCATAGGTGTAAATGTGGGAGTGAATGTGAGTGCTGATGGCTGTCTGTGTCTATGGCTGTACCCTGCCTCTAAGACAGCTGGGATAGGCTCCATGAATGAATGGATGGATGGATGTTAATAACAATAAAGTATGTGTGATGGTGCCATGTAACTTTCCTTCAGATTGGCCCACACAATCATTATAGTAAAATGAAATATGTAACTGGGGTGCTATTATTTACATTACGCACACAACCTGGCACATGACTGTCCAGAGGAGAAAACTTTTGGTGAGACAACCTTTAGGTTTTATGCTCTGTAATGTCAGGATGTAATGTCCTGTTATTTAGTTAACAGAATAATTAATTCTCAAAGATCATTTCTGAGTCCAAAACCATAATGAATGAAACGTTCAGTGCAAATGACCCAATCCATCTTTTGCCTTAAGTGTATTTAGAAATGTGGAAAAATCATCAAAATGATTTAAATATTTAACAAAGCAATTAATTGTAGAGTACAGTATACATTTGAAGGCAATGGCAATAGACAAATACAGCCAAAAAAAACCCTCATGTGTATCTGACATCGACCAGTTAGCTGGGTGCCTAATTCTTCTTTTATTACTCTTCCAACTTTCCTTTCCTGCACCTCTTTTCCCTTTTCCCCTGCTAACCCTCGCTTTGAATCCTATTTTGCTCCTCTTTGTTTCCTTGCCTATCTAATCCATCCTACTTTCCACTAACTCCACTCTCTGCACAAGACATCTTAGAAAAAAATATCTGCTTATTTCTCAGAAGGCCTTGAAAGTTTCAGTGCACAAGATTAAAGAAAATGATCCCATGAAAATCTAACAAACAATCTCCGTGTGTGTGTGTGTGTGTGTGTGTGTGTGTGTGTGTGTGTGTGTACTTCTGAGAGTGATTGCTTACTATTCAGATATGTAAGTATATAGACTTGGCCTAGACAGTAGGCAGTTTTTATGCCCAGACAGATCTCTAGATGTGCAGACACTCACAAATGCACAGACTGTATCAAAGGATCAATGGCCAAGGCTACTGTATGTATAATATATAAAACATCAGTTAACAAAGGACAGTTTCAGGCAACCCAACAGAATATAGAAGAGAGTTGGTCTGCAGTCATGGAGATCATGATCATTACCTTGTGACAAGATATAGAGATTATTACACCTGTCTTTCATGTGGTGTCCATGTTCATATCTGTTCATGTAGTTAAGCTACATTTAATAATAGAAACATATTTTGGTTTGTTGTCTGTTTTTACTCTTTTGCTAAAAAGGCAATGGATTGTAGGACAAAAATGCCAAAAATTGTATCACAATGTCTATTTAGTTGTTTTTCTAGTGTATTAGATTATATTCCAGCTTACACTTTCTGAACCTTTCATCCAGGTTTGGTGACCCTTTGTTTTTTATCCGTCCTTCAGTATTACTCTTGTCCTAAAGCCTTTTAAAGTTTATTGTAGGTCTAATTTTTACCAAAATATTCAACATACTGAATATCAACTCTGCACTCATAGATTGTTGCTTCTCCCTGTTCATGCATGAAAAGAAGCCTGTATTTAATGGTCTCGTAATGCCATCTAGTGGAGACTTAGTCACACAGGATGCCAAACAGAAACAACACTGATAACACCAGAGAATAACTAGATCCACATGATAAAATAGCCATAATTTATTTCCCCTCAACTTTCTTTCAGCAATCAGTTTTGAAATCTTCATGGCTAATGAAGATGGCAAATATTAAAAAACCAACATGTACATCTGAAAACAAAATTCAACTTTGATTAATTAGAAACACATTTTATTCAAAGAACCTAAACTTTATGCACACATCCACAACCTATATCAATAATTTATTTGTTTGTTTCTTTCATGACAGAGTTTAAAGTTGCATTTTTGGCTGTAATCTTAGGAAACTTGCACTAGGAAGATCACCATTCACCACTGACATTTAATCTATATTTAATTTAGGCTTGCCCTTGCTTAGAGATTTCTTGAAGTCCACTGCTGCATATGTTGAAATCCTCCTTAGTTGTACTTCAAAAAATAATAATCTACTGTCACTAATTTTAAGTTTTATTGAAAACAACATGACTGTAATTTTTTAAAACTATGCTATGCCAAGGCAAAGTCTCAAGGCTGGACTCAAATGCTGGACACACATTAAAAGTTCAACAGGTTTACTGTAGGAAATGAAGGAAAACATGTTGATTAAACGGGTGTGGAGTGTTTGGGAATGAGGGGCAGGATGGGAAATCTACAGATCTTTTTCTCCACTAGACTAGAAGCATCTGTGCAGAGGGGAAAAAGGTGGGTCCAAGTTCTAATACTGATCCAAACAACAAGGCAAAACCACAGAGCAAGACAAGGCTAACCACACTATCACAGTTCAGTTGTCTGGCATTATATGAGATATTTCTTCAGTGTTAAACAGCAGACAGGAAATGCCAATTGCACATAGATGAGTTAACTGCTAACAGCTTCCAAGTGTGTAAGTCAGGAGGGCAGGGCCTCCTTCAGGAAATCCACATGTGAAAAAGGCAAGCAGAGTTAATCCACTCACACTGACAGAGAGAAAACCAAGGAAGACAATGGATAGAAAACAGTAGGTTGGTACAGGAGGACAAGAGGAACATTAGAGTCAAAAGGGAGAATAATTCAGGGATGCTCACTGGCTAGTGATTGACAAATTATTGAGGTCACCTGATACAAGACGTGAGAGGAGGTTGAGGCAGCTGGTCTGCATTGCACGTGGCAGACAGTTGTTGTCGTAGGCCATGCCCTCTGTTCAAAGTTGGTTGTTCACAGTGGGCATAGATGGTCTCGTTTACTCCTTTTTCAAACAATCAGTCTCTTCGGTTCAAAATGGGAAGGTTGGCATCATCGAAAGAATGACCTTTATCCTTTAGGTGGAGATGTACAGGTGAATCTTGTCCTGTCAAGATTGCTTTTTTATGTTGCGCCATGCATTTAGAAACTTAGTATGCCTCAAACCGATACCATGACTTCATCAGGCAACAATAATAATGTGCAAAACTGTGCAATGCTTTAACAATGAAATTGTGTTTTTATATGAGGGAAATATACATAAGAGACCACTATACATTAGATCCCTGATGTAATTCTGTCCCCACCTTGAACCCATTGAACCTTTTCTTGAACATTATATTACTTGGATTATATTACATTAAAAAAATAATAAGATGCATTACTCATTTCTACAGTAAGAGGTATATTTACACACATCCAATATCCAATAAATGATGTTGTCTGCAATGCACCAGAGACAGATGATACGCACCATAAACACTGCAATAATCCATCAACAAATTCAAAACACTGAATAGAATTATATAAACAGAAATGCTAGGAATTTGTTTTTAGATTAACAGCCTTTAAATTAAGCACCACATAAAGTGTTTTAAATGAAATTATAATATTTTTGTTTAAACTGGCTGTTGCCAACAGGATTTATGAAGGGCTTTCGATTAAAATAAAGACATAATATCTTCAGCAAACATGATATTTAGGAAACGTGTTCATTGAGTGGGACAGTAGCCAGGTGGATTCTCTGCAACAACACAATGTGAATATCTTGATCCAGTGAGGAAATACTGCCCCACAAACATGAAAAAGTACATTGAAGTGGATGGGCTACAGGAGCAGAGGACTACATCAGTTTCCACTCCTGTCAGCAAAGAACAGAAACAATTTGAACTGGTTCATCCAAAACTGGAGTAAGATTAGAAATCATTACCTGGTCTAATAAGTCTGGGTTTGAACTGTGAAATTTGAAACA